TTGGTTTTTTTTTTTTTGGAAATTCAGCGTGTGGGGTTGTGGATCATTGGGGACGTTTGCTTTGGCCATTTACTCCTCTGTTGTCTCTGTTTTCGGCCCTCTTGAGCCGTCCCGCAGCATTCCCAGGAAGGAGCTGAATGATCCTGGTGGGGGATTTGAAACGGGGGCAGTAGTCCCCATTCCCTGAAATCTCCCCTCCGTGAGGATGCGGAGGAAAGCCAGGTCTCGCCTCCCTGCCAAGCCCACAAAAACCCCTCTTTCTTTTCCAGGACCGTGCTGGCGCCCGAGAGTCGCCCAGCTGTGGTGGGACCCCAGGTTGTCATCCCGGGGCAGGAGCTGACGCCTCATGGTTTCTGCCTAAAAAACCAAATGGCTGCTCACACTGGTGCAGCCCGCTGGCTGAAGGTTGGCTCCCAATACCTTTTCTCTTTGAGGGGGAAAACCCCCCCACATTTGTGTTGTTCAGCAGCAGCGACGGGGTCAAATCCCATTTATCTCCCTATTTTCTCATGGAAATGGAGGGGGACAGCCCCACTGAAGGGGAGCGGGGAGGCTGGGCCAAGCTGTCAGCGGGCAGATACCTCCATCCCCTGCCCTGCTGCAAATCAATCCGCTGGTAGCGGCTCGCACGGGCCGGATGTCTGTGCTTAATTAGTGATAATTACTGCTTTGCCGTGCCTTAGCCATCCCGCAGTAGCGATGGTTTATTTTCTTGCGTGAAATCTCACAAGGCTTTTAACTTGCTTGCAGGAGAGAAGCGTTTTGGTGGCCCGGAGCGTTGCGTGGCCATTTTCGGAGCGGGGAAGGAGCCTTCACCACCCGTGCTGCGCCGGGGAGAGGTTCTGCAGGTGCCCCACGCTGGCGGGGCGAGGTGAGTGCTGTTGCGGCTCGCGTTCTCCAGCCCCGGAGGGATGAAGCCGCTCAGCCTTTCACGGTTGAGAGGGCAGCGAGTATTGCTGAGGTTAAAGCCGAGTGCCGGAGCCCTGGGGGGCAATATAGCTGAAACCCTGAGGGCAAGAAACTCGAAGCTCTTGTACAGTTTGGTTGGGGTTTTTTTTCCCATTTTAGAGATATTTTTTTTTTGCTTTTTTTTCATTTTGAACTGGAGATGGTGACGAGCAAATAACCAGCCAGCTTCTTCCAGCCCTGTCCTGCCAGCTGTCAGTCACAAATACCGCTATCAGGACATGAAAGATTAATAAGGCAGGGCTAGCGGGCTCGGAGACGCCGCTTCCCTGGCAGAAAAAGCCCCGGCACCCAGGAGCCCTAACTCGGTCGGCTGAAAACGTGTAAGTACATTTCAAAAAAAAAACCAGGCCGAGGAGAGGTGTATCTGCGCTTCGAGCTGCGTAAACGCTCAATCCGTGCCGATCCCGAAGCCTATGTCCAAGGGAGTCGATCCATCGTGTTAAGGAACATGCCCAGCATTTATGCAACACAAGCGCCTTGGGTCTCTTGGTGATTTTCAAGTTACGCCTGAAACAAAATTCATATTTAATTCATCATCTTAATAATATTTATGAACACAAAGCTAGACTTGCGGCTC